ATGTTTATTTAATATACTATTATTTAATATATTTAATATTATTATTTATTTAATATATTATTATTTTAAATATTATTACATGTTTTTAAAAATTAAACCACCAAACACAATTTTAATTTTTTTTTAAAACTGAAAATAATATCGAAATAAAATTATCAAATGCATTTTCAGAAATGATTCTAAAATAAAAATAAAAACGTTTTCGTTTTAATTTTTATATAAAAAATAAAAACGTTTTGAAACGAATTTCAAACGCACCCTCCCGTTCACTTCGCTGATTCGAGTTTAGAATTCGAGTTGAGATGTGATTTTATGTGAGAGCTTTTTACTGTAGTAAAAAAATTAGATGTGATTGTTTGTGAGAGCTTTTTACTGTAGAAAAACTCGAATTCTAAATTCGAATCAGCAAAGTGAACGGAGCCGTTTTTTCAAATAGACTTTCTAAACTCGAATTATAAACTCCGTTTCGCTATCTTCAACTTTTGAGCAATATATTTGTGGTGCCATTCTTTCAAATAGACTTTCTTGGTCAGAAATGTATTTGCCAGAGAATTTTGTAGTAGCTGAAAAATGCTTTGCCAATAGGATATAGGATTTAACCGTCACATCACACGTCACATAAGAATCACATCATATTCAAGAAAGCATGATAATGAAGATCTTAAAAGCCGTATCCTTTAGTCAAAAAAAAAAAAAAAAAAGCCGTATCCTACAGTAGGTTGCTTTTTGAAACAATGTACCCGAGAATTCAACTTTTTCTCATTAACAAATTGGACTAAAAACTTTAATCTTAGACCAACTCTAATTATGTTTGTTATTGTATATTTTTAATTAAAATAATTAAGGATTTGTTTTTTTCTCCACTCCAATCATTAGTTATTTTAAAAAATCTACTTCATACTAATTAGCTAAATTTAACTAGCATGAAGTGGCTAACCATTTCATTTTTTCTATTATTTTATTCTCTTAATAGTATTAATAAATGCATTCTCTCAATGGTTCTTTTTTTTTTTTAATCTTCAAAATTATATGAATTAATCAACTCAATATACGTAACGGTGATAAATAGATGAGTTCAAGTATTTTGTATTTCTCATTTTTGTCTTCTTCCGAAAGCACTATCCATCTCTCTCTCTCTCTTTTTAATTGTTATTCTGTTTATTTATGAATCATGAAAATGATTCATACTGTAATAAGATCATCTCTAATATAAATATTAATGTTAATTATATATTTCGCATTAAAAATATATGATATGGTATGTTATTTTCATTTTTATTCTAATGCATAATGTTATTTGAAATGTTAAATCTATTTTTTCTCATAATTATTAAGCTTTGAAAGTTGTAAAAGTAAACCTTTATTTTTTGAAATAATTAGAAAATACAAAAGTCATAATGATTACATGAAAAGTAAATATTTCAACTAATAGTAATTAAATGTCAAATTTTTTATATGCTATATTTGGTGAAAAATTTGCTCAAAGTATAGTATACGAGAAATTTAACATAACAAATTGTATTATATTCGAGAGTATTTTGTACTCACATATTAAATTTACAATTAACAACAATTATACCTTGGAGATGTTCTAGTCTTCTCTGTGAAGATGTAGAAATCAACGACCAATTATTGACAAATCAAAATCCTAGCCAATCCACATTATCATCTCAAATTCTTTCTCAAACCAATTTCACAACTAAAAAGTTACTAGCTAAAATAACTGTTGGAACAAAAATGGTTATTTATATTTTAAAATCAATAAATATTAAAATAATATATGTTTAGCTAAAATATGGAGTATAGTTTGTGTAATTCATCAAAAAGTTACTAGATAAAATAACTGTTTAGCTATTTAGTTAAAATTTAGCCAAAATTTAAATAGCCTCCTTAGAGATGCTCTTAGTATTTAGGACCTAAATTTGACAATTCTGGGTAAGGATGGATTAGAGAAATCCACTTTTAGAGAGAGGATTTCAAATATATGATGTTCAGTGGAAGAGTTGAGCATAATTTACATAAAAATTAGAAGTGATACAACTGAATAACTATACTTCATAAGTGGTATTATGCTTAATTTAAACCTTTGGTAATGCAGTCCAAACGATAATGGTGTCAATTGATGGACAACAATTAGGATCCTAAATACCAAAATAAATGTTGATTGTCCGACTTGCTAACCAACCGAAAATTTGGGTAGGTTTTGTGTAAAAATCACGGGTATGTTAAAGGTTTTGTGTAAAAATCATGGGGCATGGCGTCAATTAATTTAGTCTTATTAGCTATTTGACCACAATTGTATCGAATTTTTAAATTTAGAGTCTCATTCGATTTAAACTAAGTTGTTAAATATTAAAAAATTCAGGGTGCTCCAATGTAAAGTTTTATTTATCTATTCATATAATTTTTATAAAAATTACGTTACATGGCAAATTATGAGTATGGAGTTGAATTATAGCTATTTGTTTAAAATGTTTTAAGAACGAAAAAGATTACATAGTAATTAATTTAGGCCTCGTTCACTTCACCAATTCGAGTTTTCAGTTTTAGGTTTCTACAGTAAAAAGCTCTCAGAAAATGTCACATCTACTTTTTTTGCTACAGTAAAAAGCTCTCAGAAAATGTCACATCTCAGCTCGAATTGAAAACTCGAATCCGCGAAGTGAACGAGGCCTTAATGATTTCATGTTTATAGTACTGTTGATATCCAAAATTTTACAAAGTATCGGCCTGACCCAGATTTAATAAATACAACTCCAGGTATGGTACGTGGACTCAAGCCACGTTTCAGGGACTTTTATGTAGGCCGTGGTTTGGCAGGTCAAGGAATGTGACCGGGCCCATTTTATCCGGCCCAATTAGATCCTTGGCCCACTTGGGGTGGTCTTGGGTCTATGAGGGAATTAGGATAACATGGATTATGGAGGAAATTAGACGAGTTAAGACCAATTATTCAAACTTATAGTCGCTATTTGTACAGTTCCAGACTTTCCTGAATACTGTGCACTAAGATAACCCTTTACCCCAACATTTCCTTTCTCTTCCTGTCCCTTCTTTTTTTCCCTCAAAAGACAACAAAGTCTCCCTCCCCCAAAAAATATAAAAAGACAGAATATACACAAATAAGAGAAGGCAAACCTTTGACCACTTGACTGTCATTTTCTGACCTCACCCAAAACGGCCACGGAACCCCATTGGCTACCCAATAACCCACTTATTGATCTCTTTGGTAAGCCCTCCCCTGCGATCGACGAAAGCTATCATTAAATCATATTGGAAATGCCTTACCGACGACGACTTTTGGAGGGATTTCAGCAAAAGTTCAAAATATTTGGAGGGAAAACTTCCCTCCCCTTACCACGTTCCTTGTCTATTAATACTGCCATTCAAGCCTCTCATAAAAAAGAAAAAGAGGCAAATCAAAAGTCCCCTTTTATGGCCGGAGATTTCTCTAGTTTTTGGGTTCTATCAGAGCGATCGACGGATAAATCCATTCTACATAACTTCCGGCAGAGTCCCTCTAGAACAAGTTTCTAGGCGTTCTCCCCATTGGAAGTGGTAACAAAAGCTCCTAAAACATCGAAACCCCTTAACCATGGCCTAACACCCCCTAAGACTGAGTTTTATTCCCCCCACACACTAAGTCCGTCGGAATCATTGTACTCACAAACAGAGACATATGACTCTGTTACCCACTTAGGAGCCTCCTCCATAAACTGGTCACATTCCTCTCCCACACCATATGCTCATTTGAAGCTCCCCATCAGAAGTTCTTCACTATCTCAGAGTCGGAACCGCAACGGGTGTCGCCCTCGGATACCGCTGTCCTTGGGGTCATCCAGGTTTAGCCTAACTCAGCCGGGGCCAACATCATCCTCTCGGCCACTATCGACGCTAGGAAGCACCCTTAGTAGCCCTTCAACCTCGTCAAACCGGCAAGAGCACAATCATTATGAACCAAACGGGGCCACGAATCCTCTACCTTCCACGTCGACAGGCCCGTGCTAAAAGAGCCCCAACATTTTGTGACACCGCTGGGGAAGCTAAAGTAGGACTCCTAAATGGCTCCTACCAAAAGTAAAAAGATGAAGACTACACTTGATGGGGATTCACAGGGGACGGAGATGTCTTTCTCAAATCACGAAGTCGGTGCCTCCGATGGAGCTGAGGCTTCGATTGCTGGCCTCGCAAAAATAATTCGTAAGATGGCTCGAACCCAAGGTACCCTTATGCACGAAGTGGCTGAGTTGAGGAATGCTCTTGCTCGACAGAATGCTCTTCCCATGCTAACGGCCGAAGCTGCACAGTAGGAATCCTTAGTTTTTAAGGAACCAAGGATTCAGACACCGGCAGAAGTAAAGGAGGACATTCTAACTCACACGGATGTGGTCTCCCTTCTTGAGAAGCACCTCTACCACACCCCTCCTGAAGACTTGGATTTCATCCTAAGACCTCTTTACTCTCCTGAGGTGTGTCGCAAGCCGTATCCCAAGGGATACGAAACTCTGAGTTTCTCTCTTTTCGACGGCTGAAAAGGGAATCCCAAAGGACATATCAGTCGCTTCTTAGACATGCTTGGACAAAACTCAAGTGATAAGGATTTGAGGCTCCAAGAGTTTTCAAAATCGCTCACTCACCAGGCCTATACTTGGTACACGACCTTGGCTCCGAGGTCTGTTTGATCATGGAAAGAAATGGTGAGTCGGTTCTATCGGAAGTATTTCC